GATCTGAGTTTGGATCGACAGCATGGGTGTTGAGAACATCGCATTTAGCTCCAGCTCAATACAACACGCACCGATATTGGGGTGGAGAGGGTTCTACAAAATCTGATGTGATCCTGACTCTCCACTGACGCCAGGACAACCGACTATCGGAGGGGGTTTCCGTTTCCGTGTATAGCAATTCCTTCCTCACCTTGTGTCCCGTCGGTAGGGCGGGTAGCACGCTTCTCGGTGGACTTGAGTTGATGCTGAACTTACCCGTGGTTGTGATTGGTTGGAGTTCGATCGCGCGGAAATCTTCACGCGATCGAAGCTTACTTGGGGCACTCTATATGAGGCGCCCTGATCTCTCTTGAAATCGCCCTGTCCAAAAATGTAGATATTTGATCCACTTGATCCACTTGACCTTCTGACCACTTGAGCCGTCTCGCGATCTTGTGCCTTGCTCTTTACGTGATACTGCAGGCTAAGTTTGTTCGTGTGAGGTCTTGTAATCCCTGGCCACACAATTCAAGGATATTACTTGTAGGTACTGGTGGCAGAAGCTCTTGATCGTCGGGGGGCCAAAATATCCCGCCCGGAAGAGAAGCATGCGTGCGTAGTTAGAAGTAAAAGTAACTCTTTTTAAAGTTAACCAATCAAATACTAAAATCTACGATACTTTTTATCTGTATACTAGGGTCTTCTGTGCTGCGTCGTCCTTCCGAAAAAAAATCATATCTCGATATGTGGCTCACTCTAATATAGCGGCGATCTCACTCTTGGTTACGATGTCCATCATGATCGCATTTCTTGATTGTGATCTCCTTTGTCGATCGTGATTGCCTTTGTCGATCGTGATCGCATTTGTTGATCTGATTGCAAATGTATCCATGTTAATCTGACCGAAATTATATTCATGCCAATTGCCTCAATCGCGATCCCGATCAATCATTATTGAGCATAAAAGGTTGACATGTAGTCGTAATCTTCACTTGGGCTGTAACGATCCTAGACGATCGATTGATCGACCTGATAAAATCAGATCGGTTCAATAGTATAACGAAGAAATTCCGACGATCAGTTGATCGATCAAATAAGCCTGATCGCGCCCATAGTATAGCCAATTGTAATCCCATAATATCTATCCATTCCATATGTGGTACACACTCAAATCATTTTCCCACCGATGATCAAAAATCCCTCGATCGACTTTACCACAGCCATTGTAACAAGGTGAGCCCGTTACATAATATTGACACTTATATGAAATTTCAAAAAAAATATTATTATAACTAATAATATTTGACAATATTACCTTTTCTTATAATATTGTTCCTAAATTTCCTTGAAGTTGGAGATGCCCTCTCATTGGTTGATATGGGCCATCATATCAACTACTGCGCTGACCAATGACCGACGGACGCGCGCAATGAGTGGAGGGCAAGTCGTCAACATACATAGTTGTAGTTTAATATAGTTATCATAGGTTATAACAGATTAGTTTTATTAGATAGTTAACTATATTAAATACAGTTTTCTTTTACCTCTCAACTAAGCGTGTGTTTGGTTGATTGACTTCTTCTGCTCAAGTGTACGTTAGGTAATTGAGGCACCTTCTTTCACTGTCATCATCGAAGGACACTACTACCTAAATCAGTATAATCGCAGGGTGCCCCGTTTCAGCCGTCCCCTGCTCCGATCGCCGACATACAGTGTTGGTGTATCTGTGCATCTTTAGTCAATCCTCTTCATCGCCATACCAACGTGTCGCAACCACCATTTGGAACATCCACGTCCCCTAATCCGGCCAATATATCTAAGGGGCGATCCGTCGAAATTGCTCTTTCATCGTCTGCCAACTTTTCATGCGATAGAGCTCAAGTCATCCCTGCTGTAGATCGGGCCACTTTGCAGACCCAGATCGATAGTCTTTTTGACTCCATCGAAGACCACCAAGATCTTCGTGACAGTTATAACTCAGCTTACGACGCATTGCGCATCCAAGAAATCCGCAACGATCGCTTGGAAAAGAGGATCAAAGGTGATCAAGAGTTGGATGTTTCTTTCGGATTTTCATGACTTGGATGTATAACGGTTTACACCACCAGCTGGAGGACACGACCCAAATAGCAGATGATTATCGGGAAGAATTGGGTCATCTCGATCAATATTAGAAGGAGATCTCGGACCTACGTTCTTCTATTCTCAATACCACTGCCGCTCGTCACAAAGATCAAATATAATTTAATTCCAGTTGCGCGCCATCAAAATTTAATTAGCTTCTGCAGTCGCTGTAGCTCAAGCTGCCGACGGAAGATTGATGCAAGTGTAGGATTCCGAATGTCAGTATAAAGCTCGTTACGAGAATTTCTTGGACGAATTGAATAGTACGAAGTGCCAGCTTAATGCTACCCGACTCGATCGCGCTTAACTCTTGTCAGCGTTCAATGATCGTTAGGCTGATCGTGATCGCGCAATTCGTGATCGAGATTCTCTGTTCGCTCGATTGGCCGATTTGCTTTCTGGTGCCGAATTTTCGGCTTCCGCCTCGTTACCCACTACAATCTCTTCTGAGACGTTATCTAAACGAAACAAACGTCCGCACCAGGTAACTACATTCGATAAGAAAATCTTAAAGCGATCACGCGGTGCTACTACGCCCCCGAGCTCACCGCCTACTTTCCTTTCCGACCAATCTGAATCCAAGTCTCACGTCCCTGATGGATCCCTTTCGCCTGCTTCTCCTGTTCCACTGCCGGCAATTCTGACGAAGATGATCATTTTTTAGCTCGTCTGAATAGACCGATGATTCATTGATGGCTACGTTATCCTCGTCTTGGTCCACTTCTCGACGACGTGTTGTAATAAAGTCCAACACGGCTCCGCCTTCCTTACCGATAGTGGTCGATACTCCCAGCCCGATGGCTTCACCTTTTAGTATTCAGCTTCCCGTATCCATGGCCGTTCTGTTTGAGTAGTCGTCCGATGATCTTAACAGCATGTATTTAAAACACCTTCTGGAATTTGCAGCCCGGCAGCAAGTTTCGAAGTCCATGTAATTAGCTGTTACCCACGGAAGAAAATATGAATCTCCCAGCCACAACTATTTTTCGCGATCAATGGCTTCCAGGCTATCGTGATCGGTTTTCTCGATTTATTACCGATGCCCTTCCTTGGTCGGCTCGAAAAATCAGCTTGACATGTGTCTCGAAATTAAATTTGAATTTTTTCTTTCATCACTTGCCGAATCCGACGATTTATATCTTCCCTGTATTCGAGGATAAAACCGTAACCCACCTAAATCCGATTGGTCGTTTCGATTGATCACTTCTTCCCGAATTAAGCGATTATATGATTCCCAGCCTTGGAATATATACGATTCCATGGTCAATCCAATTTCGTGCCGGCAAAGCGGTTGGTACTTAGAATTAGCTACTATGTATCATGCCTTCGAACTCCGTCACCGTCAAGACCTGTGGGAAGCGACCATTTTCCTCGATTTCCATTAAGATAAGTCGATCCGATCCTGCGTTAGCCACTTTTGATAAGGAGCGAAACCAACGGCGATCAAGAGCTGGCCCCAAAATAGAAAAAAATATTGCTAAAGATTCTCTAAGGTATGATCGACGGCCATTATGGCCTCGACATCCTGTTGGACCCCATATTTCTTCACTTTCCTCGTCCGAACGAGGTCAAAATGTGGTATTCAGGATAAAATACAAAGCAAATCAATATTTTCAATTTGCTCACCGCGTATTCTATGAGCAAATCGACAGAACCCTGGCGTTACTAATTTTGCTCTTCGATTGAAGATCATCCCGGATAGTCTATTGCTCGCCTGGACGACAAGTTTGTACCTCGTGAGTAAATTTTCTGGTGTAGCTTGTTAAATGCGATCCTTTAATATAATTTCAATCTTTGTACTTCACTTGGATCGCATCCAAATTTTCTTTTATCCTTTGATCATGTAATCGTGATCGATTTAATTCGATCGGCGATTCTCGATCGTATACTCACTCCATATATACCATTTTACCTTCATGCGTGACCTTCTCACACACCTTCAATATCCCATACAGCCCACCGCTATGAGTCACGATGTTCCTACTTGTGTGATCGCATCACATTGAAATGATTCACTTTTGCTAGATTGCGATCACATTCTTCCAGCAAAGACCCACGATTTAAATTGGGCTCATCTATCCAAGACGGATCTTCATAGCCTTTCCAATACACCAAAACGTGACGGTGCACCCGACCATATCGTGTCTTACGGCCCGATCGTACATCTGCAACCCTTTACACTTCGACTTTACCCTCCCCCCGATCACCTCCCCAGCTATCTTCCGTCAATAGTGCTTTAATGAAATTAATTCGTTCTGCCTCTTCCACATTCAGCAGATTCGTAGGCCGTTCCGAAAACACTCTGACCAGCTTCAATTAAGACACATGGACTAATGGAAAACAGCCTATACGGTGTACCCGCGATTTCCCATCGCACCACGTGATCTCAGCATTTTTCTGATACACGAAACGGTCCATGCCACATGTAGGCCAGTTTCTGAGGGTATCGATCCTTGACCCGATCCAGATGAGCTACACTTGCGATCCGCAACTTATTTCCAATCGATCATGATCTGCATTATGGCGATCGGCTCGATCTTGAATCGCAAAGTTTTTTTGGATCATTTATTACTGATCGTGCTCTTTGATACTGGCGTTGTATAATATATCGTCATTGTCGTGAATCTAGATACCGTTCGTGCTTCCTGACGGCAAAGTCACCTCCAAAGTTGATCGTGGGTCCCAACCGTGAACTAGATAACACAATGTGTCTCTACGGACACGATGTTGCTCCGTGTTAATCAAAAAAGTCAACTGCTCTGTATATGCGTCCCAGTCCTTTTGATTTTCATCCGTCACATACATCTTGATTGCTCTTGTCAAAGTTTGAACCATTCGCTCGTCTGTGCCACTTGCTTGCGGCCTGTATGCCATAGTAGCCCGCTGTTTCTGTGGTGTCACGGTGCGCTGTGCGACGATGATCTGCGGAGCGCGGCGAGGTCGCGACAGGTGTGCACACATACCGCGCAATAGAATGCAGCGGTGTTGTGCGCGTACACCGTCAGCACAGGGGCTTGCTGGCTAGCAGTAGGCCGAGCATGGGTTGGGAGGCTGAGCTCCTGTGCTGACGCGCCCTCGTCGCGCTCGCTGAGCATGCCACCTGCCCTTTCGGGTGAAGGCAACACACTCGCCAGGACTTCCGAGGGGCTGGCAGCGTCGACGGGGTCGTCCAAGGCGTCCTCGTCGTCGCTAAGGACGCCCTCGAGGTCGCTGGGGCCATGGGCAACACCCAGAGCGCGAGCCGTGGCGGCTGCGAGCGCTTCCCCGGGCACGACCGGGTCGGGCAGCATGCCTGCCGCCCTACCGGGTGCCGAAACAACAATCGCCAGGTCTTCCGCAGCCAAACGGCGCGCTTGAGGGCCGGGTGAGGCCGAAGTGGGGTCTTGGACAGCCAAACGGCGCGCTTGGTGGCTTGTTGGAGGCTGGGGAGCGCTAGCCAGCGCTACCCCGGGCACGACCGGGTCGGGCAGCATGCCTGCCGCCCTGCCGGGTGCCAACTCAACATTCGCGGTGTCTTCGAGAGCCAAACGGCGCGCTTGTGGGGCGGGAGAGGCGAGGCACGGGTCTTGAGCAGCCAACTGGCGCGTTTCGAAGGCCGGCGAGGCCGAAGAAGGGTCTTGGGCGGCCAACTGGCGCGTTGGGGAGGCGGTGGAAGCCTCCAAAGGTGGTTGCAACCCCCCCTATACTTAAACCAAGTATAGGACGTGCGAGGTCCTCGTGGCCATCGTGGCCATCGTGGCCATCGTGGCCGTCGACGAAGGGTGAAGAATTCCCGTTACGTGGGGGACCTCCTATACTCAAACCGAGTATATTCTGGTCCGTGACCTCGTCGGTAGACGTAGCCGAGTCCAAATCAGGGACAGGCTGATTTACCAAAAAAGGTAGCCCGACCCCTAATGTCTCATCCCATCCGGACGAGTCGGCAACCGCTCTAATCTCCGCGTCAGCATCCGCGCTATAAAAAGACGCATCGCTGGCGAGACTAGAGTGGCTGGCCGTAGAGCACTCGCTGTCGGAAGACAGCGAGCGCTCTCGAGGCTGCCAATCCGGCCACCAGAAGCGCATCCCAAGATGCGTTGGTGAAGGGTCGGAGGGCGAAGAAAGGCAACAAGCAAGTGTAGTAGTCGGTCTCACGAGAGAAAGGGTGTAACCTCTCGGAGACCTATCTATGCGTAACTAGCAAGCTAGAAAGTTATAGAAATAGATGCAGAAATTAATGTGAAAGTTCCCGACTTTACAGTCGGCAACCAGTTTTCACACTGATTAGAACAGATACTACACTTGATCTTAGCTATTAGGCCGAGAAGGTATAGCTGCGAAGGTACTTCGAAATGGAGTAGTGCGAATTTGTGGGTTTTTCTTCAATATGGCAGTAGCATACAAAATGTGTGGAAAGGTAGTAAAATATAACAATAATTTTAACAGCATATTCATTAAATCGTTAGTGCTATTTTGATTTAAAATTGGGGCGACATGTAAGAATCAACGGGTGGCGAAATTGGCTCTACCAAAGCAGCTAGGTGGGGACAATTGTGCAACACTGAGTGGACTTTTACAGAGTAAAATATCAATAGGCTGATGTTTTGTGTATATGTGCTGTAGCATTTTTATAAATAGTATAAGGTACAAAAAGAATAATTAATTTGAAGAAGAAGGACCAGGTATAGTTGTTGGCCTCGCGGGGGAAGTTGTGAAAGCCCCCGGAAACCGTTCCGTCGACACTAGCAAGCTAGTGTCGATAGAAGTTCCAAAAATGAATGTGAAAAATCCCCAACTAAAAGTCAGGAAACCAGTTTTCACACTGATTAGAACAGATAATGTGTAATATATTACCAACCGATTAGTCCTTTACTCAGGTGAGTATAAAAATACCCAAGAGACACTATGTGGTGTGGTAGATGATACAGATGCACCACACAGAGGCCGGACCAAAACTTACCGGTAGGATTTGCGAGGGCGGTTCCCTACGTGGGTGTGGCCCTGTCGGCCGCAATGGGCCTGATAACCGACTAGCGGTGGCCGTTGTGTGACGGATTCCCCCCGGTCTCCGTCACTCGACTGCCCCTTGAGCTTTGTCTTGACGCTCTTGATCCTCTTGATTCGCTTGGTTTCCTTGGTTGCTGGCGCGCTCGATGCATGCTGCAATGCAGATTCCAAATGCGACGGCTGGACGTAATACAGTGGGCAGATAACTGCCGGTCCAGCCGCTTCGCATCGCACTTGAGCATTCCAAGGTGCTCGGTGTAAACCGCGAGGTTACCACCAGCAACCGCACCGAGTGACCCGTAGACCAGCGCTGAAAGCTGCACGGTCCATCCTTGGTGTTCGAGATGACGCTTGATACCGGCGTACTTGGTCCTCTTGAGCGCAGCGATACGAGTGAGCGAAGACGTGTCGGGGTCATCCCCAGTCTGCTCCTCGAACGCAATGGCCAGATCCACCACCGACACCGTTCGCTTGGTGTGGTTGTATACTTGAAGGTCGGGCCTCAGCGCCGGTCCAGGTAGCGACGGCACCGTCTGGTTCACCCGAAGCTCGACGCGATCCGTGTTGTCACCTGCTGACGCCGTCACCTGTCGCTCGATAAGCTTGAGGGCTTCGTCATGCCGAGTGCGAACAACATCCATGGTACCAGCACAGTGGTTGAGCACGTGTGCCAGCGTTTCCGATCGAGAGCATCCAGGAGATCGGCACTTGTCATGGGCGCGTAAACGTCGTCGCTTGAGGACACTATGGGTGTCGAGCTGGTTTAGACGACCAGCCACTGCAAAGCGGTAGTCCGTCTCCCATAGTCCACGAGGTCGTGTGAGGAAGGCGCTCCCAGCACCTCCAACTATGCGTGCACCCTTGCCTTGGTCCTTCATTGCAGCCCATCTCTTCCAGTGCTTGTTCTTGAGGTGCAGCTTCACGTGCCTGAGAACGGTGCGGTGGTCCAACCACGCCTCATGATGTGGCACGCGAAGCTGCAACCGCTTGGCAGGTGTCCCAGTCTCTTCAACCGCTGGTGCCATCTCAAACTTGAGTCCAAATCGATGAAGGTGTCCCAGGATGTCGAACCATAGCGAGCCGATGTCCGAATTTCGCCGCTTGGGGGGGCCGCACCTGACGTCGCGAGCTTGCTATTGAGCCTCTTGGGTATTTTTATACCCACCTAAGTAAAGGACTAATCGGTTGGTAATATATTCCACATTATCTGTTCTAATCAGTGTGAAAACTGGTTTCCTGGCTTTTAGTTGGGGACTTTTCACATTCATTTTTTGGAACTTCCATCGACACTAGCTTGCTAGTGTTGACGGAACGGTCTCCGAGGGCTTTCACAACTTCCCTCGCGAGGCCAACCACTACACTTGCCCCTCCTACTTTATATTAGTCCTTCTTGTTGTACCTTTCACTAGTAGATAATAATCCTACAGCACATATACACAAAACATCAGCCTATTTAATAGTTTTGCTCTGTAAAAGTCCAATCAGTGTTGAAAATTTGTCCCTACCAAGCTGCTTTGGTGGAGACAAATTCGCCATCCGTAGATTTTGAAATAACGCCCCAATTCTAAGTTAATTTTTTTTACTTAAAGTTGGGACGCTATCTCATTGTATACTCCGATTGAATCCCCAAGTAATAATAATTATTACTATTTTGACGAATTAATCAAATACTGTTATATTTCATTACCTTCTTACAAATTTGTGTATGCTACTGCCATATTTTACAATCGTCCGAAAATTCGCTCTGCTCCATTTCGATGTACTTTTGCAGCTATACCTTCTCGGCTAATAGCTAAGATCAAGCGTAGTATCGGCTCTAATCAGTGTGGAAACTGGTCGCAACAACACTTCCTTGTTGCCTATTTTCTTGCCCTCTGACCCATCACAACGCATCTTGGGATGCACTTCTGGTGGTCGGATTGGCAGTCTCGAGAGCGCTCGCTGTCTTCCGACAGCGATTGCTCTACGGCCAGCCACTCTAGTCTCGCCAGCGATGCGTCTTTTTATAGCGCGGATGCTGACGCAGAGATTAGGGCGTCTGCCGACTCTTTGGGGTGGGACGGTCCACTAGGGGTCGGGTTACCCATTGTGGATCCGCTTGCCCCCGTTTTGGACTCGGACGAGTCCCCAAATGAGTCTTTTGGCTCTTCTCG